GTTCCGGCCCTCGAGCCTGGGCGAAGCGAGGCGGCGGTCGGAGACGCCGGAGGTCGGTCGGTCGGTCGGTCAGTAAACGGGCGCGGAGGGGGAAAGAACGAGGCGGGAGGGCCCGCCGGGAAGCACACAAATAAGGGTCCGCGGGGGTTTGGTTTTGTGGATCGCGGGCGAGGCCCCGAGTCAGAGAAAAGGCGGGCGGGCGGGCGGACTGACGACAGTCGGCTGCTCGGAATGCGAGGATGATGGGGAGGTGGTCCGAGCCCTATGGGCGGCCGAGTAGATTTGGAAGGGCAGGAAGGGGCCAAGATATTGGAGACCCAGCTCCCTCTTCTCCTGCGCTAGGGCTTCTTGCACAGCAGCAGGTGGAAGTCTCACTGGTGGGGCTTCCCCACTGGGGCAGCGCATGAATCGGGCAACGCTGCACCTGTTGAATGTCTAGTAGCGCGAGAGCTGTAGGATTCATGGGGCCAGGCGGGGCGGAGGAGTGTAATGGGTAGGAATCATACAGGGGAGGTTTCAGGCTGTAGCTGGGGGTAGTGCCACTTACGGTCCCTAAGGGTGCGGTTTTTACAGCCCTTGATTGAGAGGAGTGGTTTCCACCCTTAGGCCATGCTTGGACTACAATTCCCAGAAAGCCCACAGCCACGTGACACCTAGGAGTGAAGGCTTCTGGGAGCTGCAGTCCAAGAACACCTGGCTGATGCTAATGGTTTTTAGAGAAGGCAGGGCAGGGTATGTGGGGTTATTTAGGTGTATTTTCCAGCATTGGCTACTTCCCTTCTTTCTCTTTCCATCTGTTGAGAGCGACGCTTGCTTTGTTTTCCTAACAATGGGCCGGCTTTGAGCGGTAGAGAAATTCGCTTAGTTATTTGAGTTTTATCCACCTGTCTCTCTCCTAACCATGGGACTCGAGGTGCCTTATGATGAGATTAAGAAAAAGGTATGGATGAGAACTAAAAACTTTAGGGTGAATGTAGAATCAAATGATATTAAAGCACGCAGGGGGGGGGAGGTTAAGAACAACTGAGAAGGGCGGTAACAAAAGACAGGAGGTACCCCATCCACAGAACAAAGTAAGTCACGTCCTTGGCAGATTAAAAAAAAACAGCTGCTGCGGTATAATGAAATGGTATTTGCTGTCTGGTTGAAGAGCAACAGAGAGGGGATGATCCTGACTTCTAAAGCAGGATAATTTTAGGGTATAAGAAGAGTAGGGCCCCCAGATCTGTGGGGGATTGGTTCCAAGCCCCCTGTGGATACTGAAAACCTCAGGTGATAGTGAACTATACTTGGTAAAAGAAAAAAAAATCCAGAAATACATATTTTCACCATATATTACCAGACCTGGCCACTAGAGGGAGGCAGAGACCATGGTATGTTTTCTTCAACAACAAGGATGTGTCGGGTGGTTTCTTGCTCCCTCTAGTGCCCAGTTGTGATAAATACATCGTAAAATTTGATGTACTGTACTGTATCTATTTTTTTCTTTTAATATTTATAACATTTTCAGACCCTGGGTAAGTGAAAGTGTAGATAGGTACCGGGGTCCTATTGCACCACTAAAAACATCCCCAGCAGCCCCCTGCTGAGAGAAAATGTTTTCTGAGGCCCTTGGGAATCTGGCAGCAAACTGGTCTCGGAAATGTTGACGGCTAGCGCCCAAGAGGAAGACACTGGAGCTGAACATCTACCAAAGCCACGAAAGCGTTGGCATGCTTTTGCTTGCAGCATGCTCACCATCTGAGGCATCAGCACTTTCCAAAAAAGAGAGAAGAATTATCCCCCCCCCTCCCCAATATCGAAATCCTCCGAGATGATGTAATGTTGTACTGGCATTTGTTCATGGTTACTGCTGAATTTTACAGTGTTCCCTCCTTTTTGTGGAAATGGAAAGCTTTCTGCATGTGTTTTGTTGGTGGCCATGGTGAGCCATCCGCCGAGGAGTGGAAAGGCCGACTCCCTCGAATCTCAGATATCGGAGGCGAGCACCAGTTCGTAGCCAGAAGGGGATTCCTGGGGATTAGGATGGAGGTATAGGTTTGCCAGAATGAACATTGAGTGAAAGCGGGTTTTTTAAATCATGGAGAACCGCATAGAAAAACAGAGCACGGAGTGAGTAACGGAGGAGTGTAGTAGGAAGTAGGAACAGCTCTGTGGACATCTCCAAACACCAATGATGCACCCTCTTTATTGTAGGCATTTATATTTCCAGTGTTTGTCCGACACGATACAGAGAGCTGTCTGAATCCCATAAAAAAATAGTTGGGTGATCAGCTGGATGCAAACACAGCAGGCAGAAACTGGTGGTGAAAATGAAGGTCACATTTGCCAACAAGAAGCCGGCCATCCAAACGTCTCAAAGATCGTATCTCCCAGCATAAGCCGGCTTGGGTGTTAAGTTCATCAGGGGAGGCCTTTGTCTCGGTCCCACCACCTTCCTGGGTGCGTCTGGTGGGGACTCAGGGCAGAAGCTTCTCTGTGGCTGCTCCCAGAGACTCCGGAACTCCCTCCCACTGGAGGCCAGCCTGGCTCCATCTTTGCTGTCCTTCTGCAAGCAGCTAAAAGATTCTTTTCAGGCAAGCTTTCCCTGAATGACTGGTGGTCTGAGATTTATTTATTTATTTTAAAAAAGGATTGTCTTACCATACTGCTTTGAATGTTTTTTAGTATTGCTTAATTTTTTTTTTTAAATGGGATCGGTTTGATCCTTTTAAATATGTCAATACTCACTGTTGTTAGCTTTAAATACTGTGTTTTAATTACGTAAGCCGCCGCAGATCCTTTTGAGAGAGAAAAAGATTGGCTAAAAATATTTTAAATGAATAAATACGTCAAGGAAATGGGGCCGTACTTTACAGCTGGCTCTGTAGCCGGATCTGTCGGATATGCAACTCGGGGCACGTGGCCGAGTAGCTACACACTTCGGCATAGTTCAATCTCTCTCTCTCTCTCTCTCTCTCTCTCTCTCACACACACACACACACACACACACAGAGAGAGAGAGAGAGAGAGAGAGAGAGAGTATAAAGAGCTGAAAATAGGGGAGAGTCTCCAGTGCTGGAGTTAAATCTGCACTTATTTTGACCAGATTTTCTCCAGAGAGAGAGAGCAGGGAAGAACTTAGCTGTGCAAATCATTCTCTTTTTGTGCTAATAATTATAATAAATATTTATCTTCCTTGGAAAGCCCAATAGCATTGCATATACCTGGAGGGGGGGGGAGGAGGAAGGTTTTAGGGGTAGGATCAGACTTCCTTTTTAATTCACTGACCAATCATTCGAGATGGAGCGTGCAGGATCTGTTGCATTTGTAACACCTATGGTGTGTTTGTTTTCTTGCCAAATAAAGTGTGTGGGTAGAAATGCTTGCCTAAGTGTTAGTTGGCAGTCTTCTTGGAAGACAAGGTCCGGCCGCTGGAGGCCTGTGTTCTAATCTCTGCAGTCTTAGGAAGCAGGCCGAGTCGGTGGGGCTCGTCAGCCTCGGAAGACAGCCTATCTAGGAGAAGGAAAACTCCCAATTTCAAGCCTCCGCTGCCTTGTGGCTACATCCAGTAATGGAAAGGGCTTCAAGAGTCAACTTCAGGGCAAAATCCGGAGCTGAACCTGTTGTATTGGCTCTTGCCTTTCCATTGGACTATTTCAGCGACGCGGAGAGGGGGGATTTGCTGCTTGGGTAACAACCTACCCTCCATATGATTTTACCCAGGCTTCTGAGGACCCCCCCCCTTCTCTCCCTGCAGCTCTCGACCCCGGCCGGTCCTCCCAGTCCCACCACCACGGCGGAGTCCGCCAAGCCCACCCGCTGTCGAGTCGTCATCTACTTGCAGAAGGAGATGTCCGGGGACACCTGCCTGGCCTCCCTCTGCCCCGCGCCGATGGCGGGCGCCCGGCCCAAGAGCTGTGGGTTCAAATCCGGCGCCCCGGGCAACAAGTACGTGCGGCTGAATGTCGGCGGCTCCCTCTACTACACCACGGTCCGGGTGCTGACCCGCCACGACACCATGTTGAAGGCCATGTTCAGCGGCAGGATGGAGGTGCTCTCGGACAGGGAAGGTACGGGCTTGAAACGGGGGGGGACCGTGGGGGCCCTTTTTCTGCTCTCCCGAGCGGATTCAGTGAACAGCACCCGGGCACCTTCCATCAAGCTATGAATCTCTCCTGGGGGGGCCTGGCCGCTTCCAGCCATCCGGGACCCATTTTCTGTGTGTATAACCAGCCCCCCCAAGAAGATCAGAAATCTCTCAGAGGCTCCTTTGGGTTAAACCCAACCCTCCAGTACTTCTTTTCTTTTTAAAGGGGGAAAAAGTTTTTTTTCTTCCCTTTGTTCACAGAAAGGGTGAAAGGAGAAAAAGCAGCCGAGGGAGGGGGTGGTCTGCCCACAAGCGCCCCCCCGTGAAGCCCACCTCTCACCCGAGGTGGTGGTTTGGCGAGGAGAAGCGCCTCATGGGGACTGCTCTGATTCCCAGGGATTGGAAGAGGGGCTGTTTCCTGTCCTTTGGGGCTTAAAGAACCCGTTCTCCGTGTCTCCCCCCCCCCAACCTCTGGAGGTGGCGATACGTCTGCTTTGGGTTCTTCCGTGGTTTGGCGTCGCGTAGGAGGGAGAGCGTGCCACCCTCTTCCCTTCAAGCTCCGCACCTTCCTCCTCTTCTCCCCCCCCCCCCCCAGGTTGGATCCTCATTGATCGTTGCGGGAAACACTTTGGCACCATCTTGAATTACCTGCGAGACAACACGGTGGCCTTGCCCAAGAACGGCCAGGAGATCAAAGAGCTGATGGCTGAGGCCAAATACTACCTTATCCAGGGTCTGGTAGACCTCTTTCAGATCAGAAGCTAAAGTCTCTGTGGCGAAGGGGCAGCACCTGCTTAAAGCAGCCGTGGGTGGCTGTGGCCACGGAGGCGTGTTTGGCTTGCAAGGCCTACAAGCCCTTGCCAGCGGTGAGGGATGATGGGATAGGGAGTGAAAAACAGTTGTCCACCTCCGCTTGCCCACGTGCAGGGAATAAGACTCTACTTCCACTGGACGTCAGAAGCTAAAGTCTCTGTGGCGAAGGGGCAGCACCTGCTTAAAGCAGCCGTGGGTGGCTGTGGCCACGGAGGCGTGTTTGGCTTGCAAGGCCTACAAGCCCTTGCCAGCGGTGAGGGATGATGGGATAGGGAGTGAAAAACAGTTGTCCACCTCCGCTTGCCCACGTGCAGGGAATAAGACTCTACTTCCACTGGACGTCTCCTCCCCTGTTGTGTGTTTATTTATGACCTGTGTTATTTATGACCTGTGTTTATTTATGACCACGATCTACATCCTGCTCCTAAAGTCACAGATCAGCTGTTTGTAACCCCCCCATCCTCATTTATTTATTTATTTTTATTTAACTTATATGCCTCCCACACTACCCAAAGATCTCACTACGCTGGTCCATGACCGTAATAAAGATTGAATTGAAATTCAAAGTCACAGATCCTTTCATGCGTCTTCCAAAAAGATAAAATTTATTTATTTATTTGTTTATTTATTTATTTTATTCTATATCGAAACAACCACTCTAGGCGCACAATCATTGATATCATTCTAATCAACAGCATTTTAAAAAAAAGAATAAGGAGTTAGATGTTTGATGTGATCATTTCGGTTTTGTAGGGGGAACAAGGGCCTCTGCTTGTCTGGGATCCGTCCTGGGGTGTGTGTGTGGAGTGGGGAGATCATGGCGAGGGAACCTTGATCAGCCCAAGGATTCGGTTTTGGAGAAATCCACAGGTTTCGGAGAAATCCACAATCCTGGTTGCGGGTGGGGGCCAAAAGGCAGAACACGAAATCCTTGTGTGTTTTAGCACGTTGGCTGCTGGTAGACCTCAGCCTCAGGAGAGGCGGTTCAGCCATTTAGGAGGGAGGAACCCCCCCCCAAAAAAATGATAGTGTCGTGGGGAAGGGCCACGGCCATCTGCCGAAAGGCCATGATTCAGCCTGGGGGGGGGGCGGAGGTTCCCCACAGCTGTGGTTCGATTGCCCCCCTGACCCTCCCTGACCAGGGCTGGATTCGATGATCCATAGTTCTGTCGTTCTGAGATGATGATGGTGATGATTTAACTGCACTAGGCTCTGATCTGGCCAGTGGTGTGCCCCCCACTTCTCATTTCCCTTCAGGCATTCAGCGACCTAGGATATGTGCCGTGAAGCCAGCAGAGGGGCCTTCCAAAAAAACCTCCGATGGACGGCTCCTCGCTGTTGTCTTTCCATCCTGGGTCTCACCCTCTCTTTCTTTTCCCCGCTTGCAGGACAAGAAGGAGTCCTACCGGCCCGTCTGCAGCATCCCCGTCATCACCTCCCCCAAGGAAGAGGAGCGGCTCATTGAATCTGCCATGAAGGTGTGTGTCTTCCCTTAAAAGATATTTGTGCACAATAAGGAAAGATGGACCTTGAGCCGCCACCGAATGAGTCTCTCTCTCTCTTTTTTTGGGTGGTGAATTTGAGGGTGGCGCTCTGCCCACCCCCATGCATAGGAAAAGGGGAAAGACAGAGAAATGGAGATTTTTTTTTCTCCTCTTCTGCAGATCAGTCGGTCTATGTCTCTGTGGGTTTATCCTATATTAGGGGAATCCAGTCCTCTCGGTCCTTTCTGAGAATCCCATCAGGTTGTATACCAGGGCCAGAAAGGGGTGTTTTTTTTTCGTAAGTAAGTGCCACCTGGCTAATCTTTTTGGGGCCAGCATGGTGGTATTGAGCGAAACCGGAGCTGAAATCGGGCCGTCCCCTATTTCAGGGGAACCCAAGGCTGCCCACCCTGGTTTCTCAAAACCCGGCTTCTTTGGTGCCGAGCCGGTCAGCGCCTCCTCGTCCTCCTCTCACGGTCAGCCCCATGAATGGTTGCTAAAGCCCACCCGTCCGACACCAGCCGCTGTCTGTGCAGACGGGGGAGAGGCAGTCTCTCTGAGCAGAGCCGATCCCAGCCTAGAATTCCTGCCTGCACGGAAGGCCTCTTCCAATGTGTGAGAGCTCGGCGCAGGACGGTTTTGAACCTGTGTGGGAACTCCGGTGAGCAAACGGTCAGCCGTGTTGCAACCCCCACGAAGGACAGAGCCCGAGGCCCCCACGGGCCAAGAAATGAGCGAGAGAACCAGAGGGTCAGTCTTCTTCTCCACCCGCTGAGGTGGGGTGGGGGGTTTCCTCTGGTCCCCGTGGGCTGCTCTGTCGCACTTTCCCTGCTGAATGTGCAGGGAAATGTGCCGTGGTTTGCGCCCAAACCACTCTGGATTTTTGTCCACGTGAGAAAACGACAGGGAAACATCTGTGGGGGCTGTTTTGCCTCACTCACCCCCTTCCTTCCTGCCCTGCATCCTGATCAGCGCATGACACTGGTCCAGAGAGAACAATAAGCATGACCTTGTTGCACACTGGATTTGACTTAAATCACGACTCAGATCCTGATTTAAATGTTAAAAATAGGTTTGTTGGTTGGATGTTTTAAATTTTAGAAAATCCATTTTTTTCTCATTTAAATCGTGATTTAAATCAGTTTGATTTTTTAAAAAAAAAAACACACATTGATTTTTATCCACCCTGCCTTGTTCGTGGTCTGTACAAGGAGGACGCCTATAATCTTTTTCTCCCCGATCATCAACTGCTCCATCCTCCGTCCTTGACTGTCTCCAGCAGGGGCCAGCTGGACGCCTCTAGGTAGCTTGGAAACGATAAAAGGGCACCCGTTCTCCTCCTTTGTCCTTTCGTCACGACTGACCCAGATTGCCACAAAAACTGACTTTAAAAGAAAAGAGACTCCAAAAGCTGTTTCTATACTTTAGTGGCTCAGAAGGTTTTTCTTAAAGTGATGGGGTTTTGGAGGGACCCTCTAAACATGGCTTTTTAAATTTAAACAAATGTGAATGTGGCAGGGTTGATGTAGGGGGCACCTACAGTGGTGTCATGGACAGAGTGATGGACTAGGAGTCTGGAGGCCTGGGTTCGAATCCCCGCTCGGGATGTGAACCCTGTTCCACCCCACCCACCCCATGGAAATCTCACTGGGCGTGTGGAACTGGTGAGACCGCTCCTCCTTAAATATCCTCCTTACCTTGAAAGCCCCTGTCAGGGTCCCAATAAGTTGGTCCTGACTTGACAGCAACCCCAAACTGGGCTGAAAGACGGTGTCCTTGGCCAACCTTGCCTTTAAGTTTAATATGGGTTTCGGGTCATGAGTGAGAATTTGAAGCACGCCCCCCTCCTCCGGAGGCTTCCACGGCTTTTGGGAGGCTGCCGGGAGCCGCTGCTACAGCCGCAGAGCTGTGAAACATTTTGGGGGATGATGAATCCCAGAATTCCCCTACCACCCTTGTCGCCGGCCTTCTGGCTGGGGAGGCCCGGCAGTGGCCACCCCAAACCCTGACACGTACCCCCCCACCCCATCCCCTGCCACCAGGGCAGTTTGCTCGGGGTTTACTCAAGGAAGGCCCGAGGGGAGTGTTGGTGTCCGGGTTCTTCTCCACCAAATTCCCTGAACCAACCTCTTCGCTTCCTTCCTTCCTTCCAGCCCGTGGTGAAGCTTCTATACAACCGGAGCAACAACAAGTATTCCTACACCAGGTAAAGGCTCTTTTTCTCCCCTCCCTCTTCCCCCCCCCACACCCACCTTGACGTTCAGCTGAAGAATGGAAGAACTGCGGGCCGGGTGAGAAGAACAAAGGCCTGCCTGACCCATCCTCCTTTTCATCCCTGGTGCCAAACCCAGGCGCCTTTGGGAAACCCCGGAATGTAGGGCTTAAGAAAGGGGCTCTGTCCTGCTTCTGCCACCAGCAAGCAGGTCTCTGGAGGCAGCCAGGAAAACAGAAAAGAATCAGAGAAGTCGCCCTCGATCAGCAGTGAAGATCGACGTGCGGATCAGGGACAGATCGGTCCGCCTTTGGTGGTCAAGGATGGGTCACCCTGATGGGTCTGAAATTAACAATAACTAAGCGACCGGAAGGGTACGGCCAAATTGAAAAACAAAGGCTTGGGGTTAACCTGGAATGGCAACGGAGTGCAGGCATTACCAAATATATTTCTACAGTGTCATTACCAAAACAGGTCACTAGAGGGAGAAATAGACCAACCAATGTATAGCCTAGTGGAGAAATTCTAGAGGGAGAAATAGACCAACCAATGTATGACCTAGTGGTCCCTGGAGAAATTTGTTTCCATGATGTTCTTACCAGAACTGGCCACAAGAGGGAGACCATGCTGTGGTCACCCTCTTAACATCTGGTTGTTAAAGACGCGGGGTTAGGCTCTGAATTCCTTTAAATCTATACGTCTATATTTTTGCCTCTTGCTTAGGGACCGGGAGGGGGGACCCAAGTAAACCCCACGTCTGCTCAGCTGCAGAGGATTTTTTTCCTTGGAAAGCCTTCCGCTTTGCAGACGGATGCCCTCCCAGAGGCGCTTTGCAAACCTTGGGCGGACGTACACAGACGTAAAGGTGCCCAAATGAAAAAAAGAGCTCTTGACTCGGCGGGTTGAGGTCTGCGGAGCTCGAGGTTGGGGGTTCAATTCCCCCACTGGGCCAACGGGTAGAGCCAGCCTGGGTGGCCTTGGGCCAGCCACCCAGGAGTCCCAGAGCAAACCCCAGAAAGAAAGAGTGATAAGCCACTTTGGATTATTCACTTCTAGCTGGAAAAGGTTGTCATAAATCAGAATTGACTCAATAGCATTATTTTGGTGTTGTTAATAATAATCGTAGTAGTTGTTCATAACAAGAACAGTAGTAGTAGTAGTAGTAGTAGTAGTAGTAGTAGTAGTAATAATAATAATAATAATAATAATAATAATAATAATAAGAATAATAATAATAATAATAATAATAATAATAATAATACAAAACCCAGAACTATCTGAATTGAGGAAATCAAGCCGTGTTTGAGATTTCTGAGTGGAAAAGACAGATCACTTAGCTTTTCAGGAAGTGCCAGCCCAAGCAAACACATTTTTCAGAGCCTTTTAAAGGCTGGGAGTGAGCAGAGACCTTTGGGTAGAGCGGGCAGCATATAAGTTAAATAAATAAATAAAATAAAATAAACTGGGGGTGGAACATGTTTGTTGTCTCCAGGAGACCATGCCAGTCTTTCGAGACGAGAGCGGAAATGTCAGAACAAAAATGTCTGGGTCTTTTGAAAGACCCAAAAAAAGGAGATGGGGTCTTGTTGTGGAAGATAGCCACGCTCCCTAAAGGTGAAGGTTCCCACCCTTGTTTTTCAAGGGCAATCAGGCGGGGGAGGAATATTACAGGCCACCGCCATGTCCTTGCGCGTGTGGGTTGGCAAGCCACGTTCCAGGCCGGCTCTCCATGCGAACGGTCCACGTTTGCGGTTGGAAATGCTGGTCCCCACTGGAGTTTCCCCTGCATCAAGGCTGTACCCATGTCCAGTTCGGCTGGCGTACAGCTGGATCTTTCCTTCCAGTGAGCCCAGCTGTCACGTGGAGCTTCCTATCTTCGTATCAGAATGTTGCACACTTTATACTGATGGACATATATGAAATACAGTGGCACCCTCTTATCTGTAGGATCCGTGTCCACTGATTCACTCATCCGCAGTCGGAGAATATTTAAAAATATTATAAGAAACATCCCCAGAATATATATGTTTTCATGATGAAGTTACCAGAACTGGCCACAAGAGGGAGCCAGAGACCATTCTAGGTATAGCTTTTGCTTTGTCCCTTCCCCCCCGCCATGGTTGGGCTCTTCAGCTGGTGTAGTCAACGACGGGGTTAGACTTGGCCGGAGGGACCGGGTTCGAATCTTCACTCACCAACCCTGGGCTTTTGACTGAATGCAATGGCGGGGGTGGGGAAACGACCCCCATGAGCTCTTTGGCGGCAGAACGAATCCAAGAGAGAATGTTTTCGGACATAACGAAACAGACGCGGCGTCGCTCTGTTCTCCATTTCTGCTCTCTCCTTTCAGCAACTCTGACGACAACTTGTTGAAGAACATAGAACTGTTTGACAAGCTTTCTCTCCGCTTCAACGGCCGAGTCCTTTTCATCAAGGACGTGATAGGGGACGAGATCTGCTGCTGGTCCTTTTACGGCCAGGGGCGGAAACTGGCCGAAGTCTGTTGCACCTCCATTGTTTATGCCACAGAGAAGAAGCAAACCAAGGTAGAGGAAACCTGCACCTTTCCAGACTCCCAGAGCAGAGAATTAAGCCCCTCGGCCCCTTGCTGGCAAATATCAGCTCTTGAGCTCCAGGACTTTAGGTCAGCCCCATAACTAAGGGAAAGAAGGGAGATTATGCCTTACTCAGTGAAACAAAAAAAGAGAGTTCATATTGAATTACGGTAGGCCCCTCTTCTCTGCAGGATCAGTATCCACTGATACACTTACCTGCCATCTGAAAATATTTAATACATTATAAGAAAAAAAAAGCACCAAAATGTATATTTTTAATGATGAAATCATCAGAGCTGGCCAGTAGAGGGAGCCAAAGACCATGTACTGTATAATGTTCGCTAGAGAAATATATTTCTACAGTGTCATTACCAAAACAGGTCACTAGAGGGAGAAATAGACCAACCAATGTATAGCCTAGTGATCCCTGGAGACATTTACTGTATTTTTCAGTGTATAAGACTATTGTCTAAAATCTTTAGACTAAAAATTGAGGGTTGTCTTATACACGGAAGTAAGCTGATGAGAGAACAAAAACAAGTGGAGGGGAAATCAGGGATCAAAGTGATCCTACAGCGCTTTGATCCCTTTCCCCCTACACTTGCTAAGTCCCACTTAGATTTCTTAATTTTGGATTAGAAAAGTGTGTGTGTGTGTGTGTGTGTTATACATGGAAAAATACGGTATTTCCATGATGTTCTTACCAGAACTGGCCACAAGAGGGAGACCATGCTATGTATAACATTCACTATTATAATAGTGTTCACTATAATCCACATTTTCAGCATTCACGGGGGGGGGGGCTTGGAACTGATACCCGGTGGATTCAAGGCTCCTACCGTGCTTCTGTGTTGTTTTCTGATCCATGACAATTGAAACATATTGAGGATTTGCAGGGTTAAGGTTAAGAGGTCTGTGTTACCTGGGAATTCGGCTTCTCTTTTTCAGTCCCGATATACTGTATTACATCCGGACAGTAATATACTTAAGGGGCCAAAAGTGTGGCAATATGTGGCAGACCTGTTGAGATGATTTTTTTTGGTACTAGCCTTTTAAAAAAATAATTATTATACACAGCAAGTAGCTGAAACTTCAAATTGGAAGAGAACCCCAGGGGGCATCTAAGCCAGTGGTTCCCAACCTTGAATCCCCAGATGTTCTTGGGCTAAAATTCCCGGAAGCCTTCATCCCCAGCTGTGCTGGCTGGGGTTTCTGGGAGTTGGGGCCCAAGAACATCTGGAGAACCCCAGATTGGGAACCACTGCCAAAGCGGGAAAGACACAGAGAAAGCATCTGTCTAACGTCTGTCTAAAATGGAGAATACACCTTCTCACCGTGATGGAGAATCCACCTTCTTCAAAATTAGTCCTTCCGTGATCAAACAGCGTTTCCTGGCAGGAAGTTCTCCTTTGTGTTTAGGCGAAATCCCCTTTTCTCGTCTTATAAATCCATTGTTTTGGGTCCCTGCCCTCCGGAGGGGAAGGAAACAAGCTAGCTTAATCTGCCCTTCCGTTGGAAGATAGCTCTTACGTATTCCCCTCCCGGCTTTCCTTGGCTCCGGCTAAACCGACAAGACTCCTTCCGCCGGGCCTCACAGGGCTTAGTTTTGAGTCCCCCTCCTTGATCCAAACGGGCACAGTGTCCCCCGCGAGGCAGGTGGTCACGTGACTGAACATTCGGGGAACCGAACCTTCCTCGACCTCCCGCCAGCTTAGCCCATCGGCGAGCCAGAGCCTTTGCCGGCTGCGGTGTGCACCGGTCGCAAGGTTTAGATTTCCACGGCTTTTTCACGGCATCCGGTTCTTCCTGTCGCAGGGCAAGGTGGCCATGATTCCTGATTTGAAAAGCGCCAGGCCTTTTGCCACGTCCGTTCACGTTCATTGGGCATCCGGACTGTAAACCACCCTTAAATCTTATTTAAATCTGGAGAGGATTTTCATAGTCCTCCCTTCCAGCCTCAGTTCCTGAACGATTGCGCTTATTTGTTTCTTTTATTTAAATTTCTTACCTCTTCCATTGTGGGGGTTTTTTGATCGGGGAAAGACCCGGACGCTCCTCTCCGAGTGCCTGACCGGAGTCTTCTGCCTCCGTTGTGCGTTTTAAGAAAGGCCTGGGGCTTAGTGGGAGTGATCGACAGCCCCCCCCTCCCCGGAAAAAAGAAAAGAATCGCACCAGAGTCCCGTCAGATCTTGCTTTCCTTAAGGGTCCCACCAGGCCCACACTAAGCGAAACCTGAAGGTAGAGATAGACTGCCCCTGAACCTGGAGGTTCTGTCCCAAAGGGTCGCACCCAGAGCATGGGAAAGGAAAATACTACAGCGCCCTGATTTCCCCAGCCAGCCTAGGCAGTGGAGTCCAGAAAAGTAACTTCTGTGCGCTCTGCTTTTAAGGTTGCGTAACTGTGAGCTGGGCAACCAGCAGCCCCTCGGAGATTTAGCAGGGGCACAGATAGATTCTTTCTTTCGGTTCCGTTCTGCTGATCGCGAGACCAGGCACAGGGTGCTACGCCCGAGGCCGTAGAAACGCTAACCTCTTTAAACTGAGCTCTCAAGCAGACGTAGCAGACCCGGAAGGTAGGAATATTCATGCCAGAGGCAAGACAACTCAAGTTACCTTGACCTTTAATTCATTAATATTAAAATGCTTTGGGTTTATCCTGTAAAATTCAGCCACCACATTTCACCCTTAACATCCTGCAGTATTTGTTCTTGATGACATGTTTCTGCTATGGTTGAAACGTAGCATTATGTGGGTGAACACCCGTCCTATATATTGGTGATCCTGTTTTATTGAAAGGGGAAGAACTGCTAGGGAGCCTCAGGGGCTGAGGCCTCTGGCTCCGGATCCAGCGGTTGGGAATTCGAATTCCCCCCCCCCCACGGTGCCTCCTGGGCAGGGGCTGGACTTTCTGAATAAATCAGCCCGGCTTTGAGCAGTTAGATTCCACTGGAAGAGATTTCCAGGAGGTGAAGGGGCCGAGGGAGAAGGTTGAGCTCCTTGGGTCTGTAATGCAAGAAATGATGGGGATTTCTTTGAGGAGGGGTGTCGGCTTTTCAGGGGGGCCCGTGCGTGCCCTCACCCTTCTCTCCCTCTCTCCCCCCTCCTGCAGGTTGAGTTCCCAGAGGCCCGTATCTACGAGGAAACGCTGAACGCCCTGCTTTACGAGACGCCCCGGGTGCCCGACAACTCCCTCCTGGAGGCCACCAGCCGGAACCGAAGCCAGGCCTCCCGGGGCGAGGAAGACGACTCGGGCCTCGAGCTTCGCGACCGTGTCCGGCGCATCCACGTGAAGCGGTACAGCACCTACGATGACCGGCCGATGGGCCACTAGAGGAGGCGGCGCGGGAGAGGACGGCCCCCCGCTCTCCGGGAAGGCTCGGCCTCCGTGCGCAGCGCGACTCTCTCCAGGGGCCCCGCCTGGAGAGGCATCTTCTCCGCGCCAGCCTGGAAGCAGAGGCGAAGGTCAGGGTGGCTTTGGTTTTGGCAAAGCCGCGCCAGTTCGCTCCGTGGAAGGCCTGCGTTCCAGAGTGCCAGCCGTAGGAGCCCTTCTTCATTTTTAATCCTCTCTCTCTATGTTTGTTTTTTTGGTTTTTTTTAAATAAGTCTTTCTCACATTGCTGGGCTCCTTTTCCTGCCTAGAGGAAGAGGTTAGAAGTGTACCCCCATTCTGTTTTCTTTCTTCCGCTCTGAAAGTGGTGCCTGATCAAACTGCCTCAAGTTCTGCTTAGGAAGGACCTCCTTTGGGATTAATTCCTGCCAACCCTTCCTGATGCCAAAGGCACATGGAGGCTGCTGCCTCTTGGTGGCGACCCGTCTCCTTCCGTTACAAAACCCTCCCGGCTGCGATGACTTCTGTGTGGCGTGGCCTGAAATGGGGAGGACGTGAAACGCCCACTGGGGCCCCCGCGGTGAAATATTTCACGCATTGGTGCTGGGGGAGAACTGGACACTAAGAAGCACCACCTCCTCTCTTCCTTCCACCCTGTTTCCAATTGGTGCAATTCGGGGGGGGGGAGCGGAGAGCTTGCGTTTCGGGGGGGGGAAGTGCCCTCTTCCGAATCTTCGTGCCGGTTTGGTCCGGGGCTGCACGATTTCTGGATCGTGGGACGGTTCTTACACAATCAACTTGCGTCAAGTTGCTATCACCAGCAAATTGTGGGATTTCGGGGGGAGGGATCAAGGGTTCCTCATGAAAGTGTCTGTCCCCAGGTCCTCTTGGGCTTCAAACCTTGCCAGAACAGCCTTAATGTTGACAGTTGCACCCAACCCTTTCGAGAGACGGGGGGGCAGCTTTGCAAATCAGACACCTAAGATTGTCCTGCCGTTGGGGTGGCCGCGATCTTCTGCCTTCGGAGATCACGTGCTGGGGAGATGCCAGAGAACGGTGGTGGGATGATGGATCCCTGCACTCACCCCCCTCCAATTTGGACTCAATGGGTGGTGAGTTTTGCACGTCATTGAGTCGCATCAGTATTTTTTTTGGAAAATCCAGTAGTGGCGTCTGAATGTACCTGACACTGAAGGAATAAAAAAAACATGCAGTATTACGTGGGCCTTTTCTTCCAGCTTCATAATATAGAATGACTCTGCACGGGGAGGCCCTTCGCTCTCGATTTCCCGAAATCTCACCTGGTTGGGCTACCTGGAATTGCCTGCCAGGTGAGCAAGGAGCCGTGAGAAGCGTGCTGCGTCCCTTCTCATACCCGGGGGGGGGGGTGGACAGTGTGGGCCCGTCTAGAAACAGCACAGCTTATCACACAGGTTGCAAAAACCCACCCACTCCAAAAAACGAATGCTTAATTAAACAAACAGCTTAATTGAATTTGAACAGCTGGCCTATCCGATCCAAGTGGGAGTTTTGCCCAGCCCTTGCCGCACTTGGAAAAGCTGAGCTCTGCTTATAAGAAAAGAAAAATAAAGTCAAACTGTACCCATGAAAAACTCATGAGGGCCGGAAACTTGGCCCCTCTAAAGCCCTTGACCTTGAATACATTGCAGCTCATTGCTGTCAGCTGGTGCCGCCCTGAGCCACTTTCGTTCTTAGGTCAGCATTAGCAAATAACTGCTTTTTCAGCGGGGATGGGATGCAGCGGAGGGAGAAAAGCCGATGGGCGCCTTTGCTCTGAGAAGCCACCCCCAACATTTTTAGGAAGAGCTGGGTGCGGATCCTGAACAGCTGCTACAAGTCACGGGTGGCAGCCCTGACCTAGATCGACCCGTAACGAAGTCAGCTTTGAGTGTTCCTTCCCCCACCCCACGTGGATGCTGTTCCTTCAGCCTTCCTTTTCAAAGCCCATTACTTGCATAAGAACATTTTTTATTAGAACAGTTTCAGTTTTTAAGAAGCACTCTGAAGCACGCAGAAAGCAGGTGCGATGGACTGCTAACGAGAATAACACTCCACTGAAACGAAATTATAAAGCAATTCTTCTGTGCGCTGAGATGCTTTTTTTTTGGGGGGGGGGACTTTTTGGAAAAAAAAATAGGATAAAATTGCCTATCTGGCGACATCTGTTATTTTGTGCACAGCGTTCTTCTTCTTCTTCTTCATTTTGCATCACCCTCTAATTTGTGGACACGCAGGGCCAGCGTGAAGCTTCGGAACTCTGATTCATCCGGGCGGAACATAATTTTCTCTTACTCATAGTTTGAAATGGTGGGGGCGGCGGGGGGATTATTTTGGGTCGCATCTGGAGGGAGGGGTTGAGAAAAATCTCATGCAAGTCATTTTTTCCCATTAAGATGATGGAGATGTATATCTGATTCTTCCCCCCCCCCGGGTTTAGGGGGGTGCTATTTTAAGCCTTTAAAAGCCTGTTTGTTTTTGTTAATACTGGGGAGAAAAATGGCATTTCCTGTTGTTGTTTTTTTTTAAAGGGCCCTTTGAATCCAAAACAGGACCTAGAGAAAGCAAGCCTGGTGTAGCAGCAGACGAGCGAGAGAGATAGCTCAGGGCTTGTGGTCTCTGGTTGGGGGTTCGAGTCCCCCATTGGGCCTCCGTAACGGGCTGGACTGAATGATCACACAGGGTCCCTTCCAGTTCTGCAGTCCTAGGGTGATGATATAAGCGGGTTGGGGAAATCAAAACATCATTAGAGGTGGTTTGTCGTCTGGTTGGACTGAAGCCACAGGCGGGCCAGAAGTCGTGGGAACTCCAGCACCCATCAGCTCTCAGGCTATGCTGGAGAAGGCTGATGGGTGTTGTAGTAGAATGACCAGTGGAGGGCCTTCAGCTTTCCGAACCTTTTCCTTCAGCTGTAGCTGGCTTAAGGTTGCCGGCATCGATCACTTCTCGGCCTTGTGTGTCGTCCCTGACGGAGGCTGTGAAATAGCTCTGCTCCTCCTTCTGCGGTGGCCACTTGGCAACCCAGTGTGGCACTTACTAGCCCACCCGCTGTTGGGAGACATTTCCAACCTTCCTTTGTTGGTTTGGTGTTTTTTTTTTTCCAACCTGCCGACGTGTTGAAACCTAGGATAGCTTTCCTGGGATGCCGTCCCCCCGCCGCTTGATAAAGGCCAAGCCAAAAACCCAGAAAACATTTTAACCTTCACCCTGACATTTACGTTCTGGAGCCGAGACATTTATCTGTCTGTTACGTTCTGTTCTTCTGGCATTAAATTTTTTTTAAAACACACACACACACCACCATCATAAAAACTTAAATATCATCAGGAGGATAAATTAAAATAAAAGTGGTCAGTGTAGGGGGTTGGATATGTTAACCGTGGGCTGAGATCTGCAGAAAATTGGTTTTATTCCAGGTTTTTTTGTCGAAAATGCTGAGGACCTTCTTTGGAAAGGCAGGTTGGTGTCAGGTGACCGAAGTCGTTTCGGACTTGGTTCGGTCGGGTCCTTGAGGCCCTGCTCGTAAGTGGGGGTAGCCCTCAAAGGCCCCCATATATGTTCCTCGTTGTTGGTCTCTGCGCTGAAGTCGGAAACAACTTATACTGACTCTAATAGGGCTTTCGCGATACCGCAGGACTGTGGATGTGGCCAAAGGCGGAAGTCTCTCTGGCTTCTAGAGACTCCACCTGGTAACTACACCGTGTTAGTTCTGGGAAATATACATATATTTATATGTACTGTATTTCGGTATACTTTAATATCATATTTTCAGGCCGTGGATAAGTGGATCCACGGATGCTGATCCAGCGGATGGGGGGGGGGTCCTACTGTATGTGAGATATTTAAGGAGTGATTTTACCAGTTCCACACCGCTAGTGAGTTTCCACAACTGACCGGAGATTTGTATGTTTTACCACCCCAAAAAATTCTGTCCCTACCAAAGGCTGACCGCCGAAGAATTGATGCTTTTGAATTGTGGTGCTGGAGGAGGCTCTTGAGAGTCCCCTGGACTGCAAGGAGAACAAACCTATCCGTTCTGAAGGAAATCAACCCTGAGTGCTCACTGGAAGGACAGATCCTGAAGCTGAGGCTCCAATCCTTTGGCCATCTCATGAGAAGTGAAGCCTACCTGGAAAAGACCCTAATGTTGGGAAAGTGTGAAGACAGGAGGAGAAGGGGACGACAGAGGACGAGATGGTTGGACAGGGTCACCAAAGCGACCAGCATGAATTTGACACAACTCTGGGAGGCAGTGGAGGACCCGGGAGGGTCTGACGGGCTCTGGTCCATGGGGTCACGGAGGGTTGGACATAACTAAATGACTAAACGACAACAAAGGGACTCTGCGTGCACACAGATGCTCCCATTTTGTGGCATTTATGATGACATGGCAAGCTTTTGCTGAGATATTTTTTAAACTGTTATATGCGGTGCTTTCTGCCTCATGTGCTAAAACAGACTGATTCAGGTTATTGGTGTTATTTCCCAATAATTATTGGATATAGCTTGGGGTCATGGTTCATTCTGGGGCATAGCGACACCTTGTAATATCCCAGGTGGCAGTTGCAGACTTTAAAAGGTGGTAAGCATTCAGATATGACTCACGTTGCTGAATAGACCCTCTTTTTTGCCCTCCGGAACAGTCTTTTTGTGTCTTCACCTTGAGCTTGGTGTACTGAATTTTACAGAAATATTCTTTGATGTGAGTGTGCGTATCATTGTAGAAGGACTGTCCCCGCCTGAGCTTTGAGTGGACAGCCCACCCCAAATAACACCCCCATTCATCAAAATTCGGATTTTTTTTATTTTTTATTTTATTTTTATTTATTTTTTTTTGAAAAAAGGACATTTAAAAAATTCTGCATGTCCGAAGCACGCAGATAACGTAATGAACCCGGGGACAGAACAGGTTGGAAAGGGCCAAGGGTGAGTCAGCACGGATTTGCTTGTCCTTTATTTATCCTTTATTCATCCACAGACCTATTATGGAAATATAATTAGCATTTTTTTAAACTTTCTAATTATTCTATGATGTTTTGAGTCTTCTTAACAAGATGGCTAATAACTTTAATAAACCAAACTCTTGCAAACGTCTTTATTCCAAAAGGTTGGGCAGGGGGGGATTTGCTTTCATTTTTGATGTGATTTTGGTTGGTTGGTTAGTTAGGGTTTTTTTTGTAATAAAGGATGGAAAGTTTTTTTAAAATTTTGGTCCTGTTTAATTTTAAGGAGATCGTTTTCTACCTTGTCACTGAATCTTGGTAGTGGCGTGTCTTCCTTGCTTGTCTGAATCACTTTGGGAGCTTTCCTTGAACAATACAAATATGCTCGCATAGATAAAGAAATTGTTAAACAAACCGGGGCTCGTTGGCGCCTGTCTTACTCATCCTTAACGCACTCTCCTTGAAACCAACGGAACAAGTTAAATAATGATCAAACAATGTCTGGTTGGGACATTTTATGGCTTCCTAGCCAACAGGCTGTGTGCATGAGTGGAGATTAAGCCGGTCCGAGAAAATAGTATTTGGCGTCTCATATAAGTACATATAAACAATCGGAACAGCCTACAATGCTAAAATAAGCATTCTTAAATAAGTATCGAATTGTGAAATTAAATTGAAGGGCTTGTGAAGGCGGGCAATGAGTTCCATCCTTCTAGGGCTCGAATTTAGCAATCCTATAGAATATATAGAAGTCTGTGTTAGGTAGCAGAAATAAAACTGCACAGGAAGGGCAATAGTTCTTGATCCCAGTTGTTCAAGATATGGATTCCTCTGCGTACAGAGAGCATCCTGTTAGAAAGCGCCTCACGTCCTCCATCTTAAAGCATCCTGCTAGCCAGTGTCTATCTGTACTGATTTTGGTCTGTGTAACGTCCCTGAATCTCTCTCAACTGCAACAAATTTAATTGTTATGGTTAACAACAGAGTCTGGAAGAGTTTTGTTGTGTTTGGGATGTGGGAGAGTGTTTGGCGAGGACGTGGGAAACCTGAGTTCAAATCCTCCCACTCATCTATAAAGCTCACCGGGTGACCTTGTGAGCATAAAACCGGGAGTAGAGCTAATGGATGTCGCCTAGAACTCCCTCAAGGAAAGGCCAAGTAGAAAGTCACCAAATAAATAACTTTCTACAAATGGACTACGATTCCCAGAATTCCCTAGAGAGTCTCAAAACTGAACTTTCTACAGCCCTCCATTTAG